AGCCCGATGCGGGACTCGATCCGGGGACTCCAGGATCATGACCTGAGCCGAAGGCAGTCACTTAACCAACTGAGCCACCCAGGCGCCCCGAAATATATGTTTTTAAAAAATCAATCCAGGGAAGTAAAAAACTGACAAATTCTTACATCTATTTCATCCCACACTAAAAAGCATTTACTCATATTTCTCTTATTAGACATTATAATCGTGCAAATTCTCCCTTACCCAACACTCTGACATATCTTTTAACAATGACACACTTGATCATTCCCTCCTCCTTAAACTTCCTTTCCTTCACTGCTAGTACATCACACTCTCCTGATTTTCCTAACCCAATGACCTTTTATTAATTTCCTTTGCCACGTTTCTCTTCATCTCCCCAAAAGGTATCTGGAAGGTAAGTTCCATGAAGGCAGGGATTTTTGTCCGTTTTGTTCACTACTGTATCCCCAATCGCTAAAAAAATACCCAGAACCATACTCAATAAATAACCATTGAATGAATCAGTGCCCCCAAGGCTCAGATGTTGAAGAGCTATAGAAATAAATATTTTATATAACTTGTATGCTGTTTCCTTCATTACATTATATTTGTCTGAAAATTGATAATGAATGTACTCATTATTTAGTTAACCAAAATATTACATTCCCTAGTCTTCTTCCATTGATGTTTTGATATGGTATGTATAAAATGCACATTTAACACCTCTTCTTCTACTTCCAAAAGCATAAACTTAGAGCACAAGAAGAGCAGTTGTTGCTATAATAACCTTCACTTTTATCTTGCTTCCAGTACTAATGTTGAATTAACAGACTGACATACTTACCTGACTTTAGTAATGGGTGGGGGTGGGAGGAGAGAGCTCAGTAAATTCAACAAGAACAACACAGTAATGACTAGCAAGTGACACTTCTTGGAAAAATAAAATGTAGTATTTTTTTTTAGGCATAAGAAATTCTAAAGAGAAACAGACCACTTCTACCTTATACTCTCCCCAAAATCCCACGATTTCATTCCCACAAAGAATGCCACTGTCAGCCATGCAAATATAATTTTAGCAATACACAAAGTTTCACCTGATATCTTAGTTCACATTTGTCCTCATTCATACCCAATTAAATCAAAGTATAATTTAAAAGCCAAAACTAGATATATGAATTTTAATTTTTCCTTCTAAGTAACTAATCCAAATCAAAAGTATTCATTTACCAACTTCTAATTTGATCTGTTTGAATACATTTAATTGAATCTTTTAGAATTACAAATTGGACACACCCTTTCTCTATAGCTATTGTATCATCTGTTGCCCATAAGTATTTTCTAGAAGATAATAGTCTTCTCATTAATTAGGCATGTTAAAAAAGGCAATGATCTGCAACTACTGACACTCACATCTGTATAATTCTCTCTTGGGTTACAGGAAAGCACTTCTCTGGCTATGTTCCCAAATAAATTGAGTAAGCCTTGGGAAAGTCACTGCTAAAATTCCACTTCATGACGGTTTTTCTTCCTCCACAAATTAATTATTGAGAGTCATGCCTACTTCCATCCATTACATAATACATGTCCATCACAGGACCTGTTTTCTGAGCAAGAAACAGCTTAAATGACACTAACTGATAGGTAAGGTCAGTGAATACTGACAGTGATCTAATAGGAAGCAGGAATCGAGAAGAGATTGATTTAATGTATAAAGTTGTGAAACACTGATGTGAAGAACACTGAACACTGTTTACTCTTAGTAACATTATCTCCCTATGAAGTGAGATACATGCCCCCAAAATGTTATTAAAGAGCATTTTAAAAGCACTTGACTCCAAGAACATTTCTCAGAAATTGAGGGACCTACCGAAAAAAAAATTATTCCATGTCATTTTTAAAGTGTCTAATAACATCTGCAAATGAGAAATAAAAATAATCCCCAATAACTGTGTTGAACACAAAATGTCTAAATGTCAAGGTCTGTTGAAAAACGAGCTGTAAAAGACAGCTGTGCTTTAAAACATTTAAGCATTTATCATATAATTAGCTCCAACAGAACTGTTCAAATTATCCATCCAAAGCAGTCAACCACAACCACCTGCAACTATTACTCAGAAACGTGTCTTCCAAAGCAACCACTTGATTTTCAGGCCTTCTCTAGAGAGGACAAGATAAAGCTTATAAGTGAGATGGTATAAAGAGATCTTTTAGGCACAGAAAAAAGACTGGAAGATAACACCTTTAGGGAACTAGGTGTAATAGGACCTATTCCCTTATGCTGCTGCCAAAATGAAGTTGTCTTAATCCAAGATCTCACTCTTCTTGAAGGGTGTGAAACTTTAAACCCAGCCACCCTCACAATGTACCGACCTGCGCCAAAAGCAGAGGGATTTTCTTCCTCCCGACTCACCCCGCGAGAAGGAAAAATAATAATATCCAAACCCCAAAGTAGAAATGTGAGACCTAGTTCAATAGCTTCTCCAACTGCCTCAAAGGCAACATCCACAGCTCATCTTCCTTTTGAAATACACCCTTCATCTCCTATCTTACCATTTCACAGAAGAAAAAAAAATCATCTCTTTCAACATTTTACATCGGTCGCCTAAACACAGATCCACCCTGACCGCACCCCAACCTCTTCATAGCTCCCCAATTTCTCCATCTCGCCACTACCTCGCCGGCAACATCACGCCTCAAACCCTCCGCTCACCAAGCGCCCAGAACCCCTATCTCCCATCTCCCACCTCGGGTTCCCCACATCTATCGCCTCAGCTCGCGCCCAATCCTGGAGCTCGGTGGGGTGGAGCCCGCGGGGGGCTGGGGTGGGGTGGGGTCCGCCCCTCCCCGGACTTTCCCATCCCCCCGGTAGGGAGAGGAGGGGGAGGGGGGGTCCTGAAGCCTCACCTACAGCTCCGCCCCTCCCCGGGGGCGCGCTGCCCAGCCCTAGCCAGGGCCGTGAGGAAGAAGCAAGCTAAGAAAAGGCAAAAAAAGCCTCAGCGCCAGCGGCAGACGGAAAGCTCTCGGTCCCGCCCGACTTCCGAGCTGCCGCCACGGCGGCCGTCTCACCCTCCTCAGGGCTGCTGCTGTTGCTGTTGCTGCTGTTGCCGCCCGGACGCCGCCACCGCCGCCGCCGCCACTACCGCCGCCACCGCCGCCACCACCACCACAGCCACAGTACTGCCCTAGCGCCCGCCGACGTCACCGCGCCCCGCCCCCTGCGCGAGACACCTAGCCCCGCCCCCGCCGGGGCCGCGAGACACCGCGAGCTCCGCCTCCTCCCGGCCGGGCCACCTAGCCTTCCCGCACCCTCCTGAGAATGCGACTTGGCAGCCCGCGGGCCTCCGGCGCCTTCCAAAGGAAGGCGGGTCAGGGGCTGCGAGTGGGGTGACTCAAGGTTCCGGCGGCGATTGCGCGCCAAAGCACAGCAACGGGCGCGGGGCATCCACAACCCCCACGCGCAGCCCCTGCGGCCACGGGAAGGGAGAGCCGGAGTCCGCTCCGGGAAGAGGCGGTAGGTGGGAGCGAGGCAAGGCGGCGTTTGTCTCCTTCTGCTTGCCGTAGGAAGTGGACCGGCCAGGCCCGAAGAGCGGAATCGTCGCTTTCCCAAACCTTAGGGTAGCCCCACCCCCTCCTTGGCGGGACCCGTTACACAAGCCCCAGGACCGCCACCGCTGTCGAGAGTAGGTCTAGAATCGTCATACATTCTGGGCTGCGCTCCCAAGGCCGCAGTGGGAACCCTTTGTCCGAGGGAAATTGGATTTTTCCCCCACCCTTAGCTTTTGCGAATGTGGCCGCGGGGCTGTCCACTCGACCTTAGGGAAAGAACTTAGGCGTCGCAGAAGACCCACGCCAGTGTACGTGGTTTTTCTGTAGGAGCTCGGTGGGAGAGGAGAGCGTGGGCGGAATTTAAGGTGCACAGTCAGCTCCTGCGATGTGCCAAATGCGGTGCTACGTTGTCTTATTTGGTCCTCAGAACAGCTAGGCTAGTCTACTAGGCAAATGGTACCTTATTTCAGGAAATCCAGTTTTCTTGTACTGAATTGCAGTCGGTTTTTCTTTCGTCGGAGTCATGCAAAGAGGGCAGCTGCATCCATTAATTTACAAATGTAGGTAAACTATCCCTAACCAAGAAAGTAGGAGTGATGTGAATTATATTTGCACCAGTCTTTTAGGTTGAATCGAATCATTTAAAATGCCCTTAAAAGGGGTCGAGTCATCATTTTACCCCTATTCTCCACTACAATTAACTAATTTACACTCCTTCATAATCCCACTAACATTTTCCCATCTCTCCTCAGTATTCACATTCATTCATTCATTCACCAAATTCTACTGTTACATCCTGCCCAGACTCTTCCCTCCCAGATCACCACGCACTTGGATTATTGCAGTTCCCGGTCCTGCTGTACAGTCGCCCCCTTCAGTACATTCAACATATGCCTACCAATTGTTAGACTGTGCTGCTAAAGACTGTATAGCTGCCAAATAAGCATCCTAAAATACTTCATTTTTTTAGACATCTGGCTTTTTACCCCAAAAAAAGCCATCCTTCTTCGACTGTTTTTCAAGATCTTTTTCATCTAACTGCTGATCTGCTCATCCTGTTACTCCCCAGCAGTGTGGGGAGGTAAAAACAAAAAAGTGGGAGTCATATCCTAGTTTCCATTCTGCCACTCTCTACTTGAATGACCTTGGGGAAATCACTTTATTTCTGGGTTTTACTTTTCTTAACTGTAAAATGGGGTGTGAACTCCATGTCTGAGATCCGCGATGTTGCTAAAATGTGTGGATCTGGAGAGTTGCTATGTTAAGCACTAAGTTATACATACACAGGGTACTATCAATATCACAGACTGAGAATTGTGGTAGTTTGTTTTTTTGTGTGTGCTTTGGGGGAGGGTTGTTTTTTGTTTTTTTGCCCTTCCACTGGTCGTTTTTTCTTATTTCCTACTCTGCCCCAGATGTTTTTGTTTGTTTTTTTAACTTACGTTTAGTATTTTTTTATTAAAGCCAGCTGAGTGCACCCTTGGGCAGCACATACACTAAAATTGGAATGATAGAAGATCAGCATAGCTCCTGTGCAAGGATGACACACAAATTAATGAAGCATTCCATAATTTTAAACTAATGTAACATTGGTTGTCAACCATTCTTCAATTACAAAAGAAAAAAAAAAGCTGGGGGGCACCTGGGTGGCTCAGATGGTTAAGCATCTGCCTTCAGCTCAGGTCATGATCCCACAGTCCTGGGATTGAGCCCATATCAGGCTCCCTGCTCAGCAGGAAGTCTGCTTCTCCCTCCCCCGGCTCTTGCGCATGTTCTCTCTCTCTCAAATAAATAAAATCTTTTAAAAAATAATAAAAATAAATTAAAAATAAATTTTTAAAAAGCTGGCTAAGCACATGCATTCATTACCTCTTCTTTTTTTTTTTTTAAGATTTTTATTTATTTTATTGAGAGAGAGAATGACAGAGAGACAGCATGAGAGGGTAGAGGGTCAGAGGGAGAAGCAGACTCCCTACTGAGCAGGGAGCCCGATGCGGGACTCGATCCGGGGACTCCAGGATCATGACCTGAGCCGAAGGCAGTTGTTTAACCAACTGAGCTACCCAGGCACCCTCATTACCTCTTCTTCCTGAGACCCCAATTAAAATGCTAATAAAGGAATTTTTAAAATGATACAAAACCCATACGTAATAGAAAATGGGAAGGAGACCACCAAAACATATATATTTTTTTAATTTACACAAGAAGTGAGTGCAGTCTGACTAAACAAAATTAAAGGAACCATAATGTGGAGTAGGTGCAGAAGGAGGCTGCAGCCAATAGGAAGGTGAAATAAAGATCTCCATATAGAACAGAAGAACCCTTCCTTATCTCGAATACAGTCAGTAGGCATTTATCCCAGGCTAAAAATCAAGAGTTCTCATCCTCTCTGGGGAGGAGTTGGGCAGCTATTTGAGCATTTATTTTTTTTTAAAGATTTTATTTATTTGACAGAGAGAGAGGGAACACAAGCTAGGGGAGCTGCAGACAGAGGGAGAAGCCGGCTCCCCACTGAGCAGGGAGCCCAATGCGGGACTCGATCCCAGGACTCTGGGATCATGACGTGAGCCAAAGGCAGATGCTTGACCAACTGAGCCACCCAGGCACCCCCTATTTGAGCATTTAATGACTATGAGTGAAGCAGTCTTCATTCTGGCACAGGAGCTGGTTTTCTACCCACTCACCCTTGAGTGAAGTTGTGCAAGTTGGCAAGACCCTCCCAAGACCACAAGATTCCTAATCAGCATTCCAATTACTTCATCTTAAACATGAACAGACAACCAAGGATTAGATTAATAGATTTTTAAAAGAAGTCTCCAATTTAGGGGGAGGGGAGAAAGATAAACAAAATGTGACCATAGAGGAAATAAAGAAACTTCAGAGAACTTAAAAAATAATAGTTAGTATGCTCATGGACTTTTAGTACACCTATGAAATAAGAATAATATACTCAGTATACTCAGATGAAGTAACAATCCAAGAATAAAAAGTAAGTCTTGAAATCATAAATAAGAAATTGCCAGAATTAGGGGTGCCTGGGTGTTTCAGTCAGTTAAGTGTCTGCCTTTGGCTCAGGTCAAGATCCCAGGGTCTTGGGATGGAGCCCCGCGTTGGGCTCCCTGCTCAGAGGGGAGTCTGTTTCTCCCTCTGCCTCTCCCCACCTCCAGCTTGTGCATGCTCTCTCTCTCTCAAATAAATAAATAAAATCTTAAAAAAAAAAAGAAATTGCCAAAATTATAAATTCACTATAAGTGTTAAAAGATAAAGTGAATGAAATTTACAAATAGAAGAAATATGGGGCACCTAGCTAGCTCAGTCAGAAGAGCGCACGACTCTTGATCTCCCAATCATGAGTTTGAGCCCCATGTTGGGTGTAAAGATTACATAAATAAATAAATAAACTTTAAAAAAAGAAGACATACTCAGATGGAAATTGCGAGAGAAAATATAAGAGAAAGAATAAATCCAAGAGAACTAATATTACAAGAGAAAGAGAAAACAAAGTAAATAAAGAATGGAAAATTACTCAAAAATAATGGAAGAAAATTTCCCAGAGCTTGAAGTGTCAACTAGCACAGAGCAAAAACGAAGAAAAAACAACCTTGTAAAATGTTAGAACTGCAAAAACAGAGATCTTAAATTTCCAAAGAAAAGAAGTGACCCAAGAATCAAGCTGACATTGGAATTTTTACCAGCAACTCTAAATATAACAAGATAACAAAGAGTTCCAAGTTTCTGAGGGAAATATTTCTTGAACCTCAAAACCTAAGAAAAAAAATTACTTTTCAGAAAAGTTCCACTCCTAGCTGAATTATCATTGAGTAAAAGATCAGAATGGGGGCACATGGGTGGCTCAGTTGGTTAAGCGACTGCTTCGGCTCAGGTCATGATCCCAGAGTTCTGAGATCAGTCCCACATTGGGCTCCCGGCTCAGTGGGGAGCCTGCTTCCCCCTCTGACCCTCTCCTCTCTCATACTATTTCTCACTGTCTTTCACTCTCTCTCAAATAAATAAATAAATAAAACCTTAAAAAAAAAAGGCAGAATGAAAACAGTTTTAGATCTGCAGGGATTCAAAAAGGTAAACTCCCACATACCCTTTTTTATTTTTTTTTAAGATTTTATTTATTTATTTGACAAAGAGAGGAACAGAGAGAGAGAGCACAAGCAAGGGGAGCAGCGGAGGGAGAGGGAGAAGCAGACTCCCCACTGAGCAAGAGCCTGACGGCTGATGGGGGGGGGGGGGCTCAATCCCAGTAACCTAAGATCATGATCTGAGCCAAAAGCAGATGTTTAACTGACTGAGCTACACAGGCACCCCTCAAATACCATTTTTTAAATAGAGTTACTTGAACATAAGCTCAAGCAAAATGAGATAGAAAATAGGGTAGTTGACAATATCAGATCTAATTCAGGAGGACAGGGCAGATCTAATTCAGGGAAGTCCCAAGAGTTCTAGGCTAGATTGGAAATAAAATCTCTCTGGGAGAGAAATATGAAAAAGAGAGAATTCAACTGAATAACTAATTACTATGATAGAAAGCTTAGAAAGTGCTGTTTTCTGGTGTTCAACTTTTAGATCCAACATATTAATAAATTATGAATAATCTTGCTATCATTAAAGCATAGTTTGTAAATGTATACCATTGTTGACAATATAAAGGTAAAACGCGCCCGATCTCGTCTGATCTCGGAAGCTAAGCAGGGTCGGGCCTGGTCAGTACTTGGATGGGAGACAATATAAGGTAAAAATGCAGTGGACAGTTTAAGATGTGGAGCATAGGGAGGAAAGGTAAAAGTAAAGGTAAAAGCATTCAAGAGATTATGTTTAGGGACGCCTGGGTGGCTCAGTCGTTAAGTGTCTGCCTTCGGCTCAGGTCGTGATCCCAGGGTCCTGGAATCAAGCCCGGCATCGGGCTCCCTGCTCTGCGGGAAACGGGCTTCTCCCTCTCCCACTCCCCCTGCTTGTGTTCCCTCTCTCGCTGTGTATCTCTCTGTCAAATAAATAAAATCTTAAAAAAAAAAAAAAAGAAGAAGAAGTAGGAAAAGTAGGGGCGCCTGGGTGGCTCAGTCGTTAAGTGTCTGCCTTCGGCTCAGGTCATGGTCCCAGGGTCCTGGGATGGAGCCCCACGTTGGGCTCTCTGCTCAGGGAGAAGCCTGCTTTTCCCTTTCCCACTTCCCCTGCTTGTGTTCCCTCTCTTGCTGTCTCTCTCTCTCTCTCTGTCAAATAAATAAATAAAATCTTTAGAAAAAAAATTAAAAGTAGGAAACGTAACTAATGGAAGAGCAAGTAATTGTTAGTCTATACTGAGAGGGTAGGAAGACACAAGATACAGGGTTTATAAGTTAGCTAAATCATCATCAATCTAGGTAGTTCATCAAGAAATGGTAGCAGAAGACTTAATAGTGTTATAATGGCAATACTCCCCTATTTTTCTGCAGATTCTATGCAATCCTATTAAAATCTCAGCTGCCTTTTTTTTTTTTTCAAAAATTGACAAGCTGCGTCCCTCACATGGAAATGTAAGGGACGCAGGATAGCCAAAATAATCCTTAAAAAAAAAAAAAAGGAAAACATTCATTCTTCCTGATTTCAAAACTGACTACAAAGCTACAGTGATCTAGACAGTGTAGTACTGGAAAAGTAAACATATATATCACTGAAATGGACTTAAGTGTTCAGAAATAACCCATACATTTATGGACAGTTTTCAACAAGAATATCAAGGTAATTCAATGGGAAAAGAATAGTCTTTCTAACAAAGGGTGCTGTAATGATTGTATATCCAAATGCAAAAGAACGAAACTGGACCCCTACCTCACATTTACAAAAATTAATTCAAAATGGACCATAGACCTAAATATAAATGTTAAATCTGTAATACTCTTAGAGAAAACATAGGTATAAATCTGCGTGACCTTAGATTAGGCAATAGTTTTTTAGCGATGAAACCAAACATACAAGTGACAAAAGAAAAAAAATAGGAAAATTGGACTTCACCAAAATGGAAAACTTTTATATTACTCAGCCTTAAAAAGGAAGGAAATCCTGACACATGTTACAACATGAGTGAATCTTGGAGACATGATGCCAAGTGAAATAACCCAATCACAGAAGGACTGTATATTGTATGATTCCATCTATATGAGATACCTAGAGTAGTCAAATTCATAGAGTCAGAAAGTAAAAGGGTGGTTGCCAGGGGCTTGGGGAAGGGAGAATACGGAGTTAGTGTTTAGGAATTAGAGTACTTCCCAAACCTCAGTTTGGGAAGATGAAGTTCTGGAGAGGATGGTGGTGATGATTGCATATCGATATGAATGCACTTAGTGTCATACAACTGTACATTTAAAAATGGTTAAATTGGTAACTTTTATGTTGTATATATTTTACCACAATAAAAAAAAAATTATCTCTTGTGCTTCAAGTACACTGGTTTGGACTGAATTGTGTTCCTTCAAAATTCCTCACCCTTTCCCAAACTGTGAACATACTTGGAGAGAGGCCTTCAAAAAGGTAGTTAAATTTAAATGAGGTTGTAAGAGTGGAACCCTAATCCCATAGGACTGGTGTCC